GGGCCCTGCGCGTTGGCTAGCAGGAAGTTGCTGTCTGTGGGAAGAAGAGGTCAAGGTCAGGTCAAGGCTGGGAGGCTAGCTTCCAGGTGGACAGCACCTCCCTTAAGTTGGGGTTAGAAGTCACAGAGCCAGAAGCTTCCCAGGTTTCCATGTTGCTCCTGACCCCACTTTGGGATTTTCTGAATTGAGAATAGGAGAAGGTAGAGCAAAGAGACAAGAACTTAAGACAGGACTTAAGCAGGGTCTAATGGGGAGTTGGAGAAGGACCCCAGGAGGTCATGCCATCCACCCCCCTGCCTTCCAACTGGTGAGCGGTCACTGTAGAAGGCAGCATAGCATGGTGAGTAAGAGCCTGGGCTCCTGCAACCCTCCACTGCCACTTACTGACTGTGTGACTTTGGGCAAGTTGATGACCTCTTCTGTGCCTGAGCTTTCCTTATTTGCAAAGTTGGGTATCATAGGCCTTCCTCACATGGTCGTTGTGAGAGTTACATGAGCTAACTTGGGGAGAACAAGTCCTAGCACATAGTAAGTGCTACTCTGAGAAGGTGAAATTGTTCCCCAACATTTGCTAGACTTTCTTCCTATTATAGAGTAAGCAGGGCAGAGTTTCTGATGACACCACACCCATTTTATTGATAGGAAACCAAAAGGCAGAGATTATCCAAACTCACAGATCTCCTTAGTGTGGGGGCAAACAGTGATGAGTGGTGTCCTCTTTCCCTGCCTTCCAGGAAAGGTCCACTTTTTAGCATTCTTGTAGCTGCTTTCAGGGGATCTGCCCCAGTGCTCAAAGTCTAACGGGAGAGGGCATTGAGCATATAGCTCCAGCACCCTCCAGCAGCAGAACCCGAGCTGTCTTCCTCCAGCTCCAATGCGGGGGAGGCCAGGGGTCTCCTGTGGGCCATTCAGGGACAGAGACTCAGCTAAGAGATGGGGCCTGTGACACAACCAGTCCTGGTACTCTAGGAGGGATGACTGTCTGGGGGCAGGGAGGCTAATGGGAACACTGAAGGTGCCTGGGAGGCACTGGGCTCTGGGCACTGCCTCCTTCTTCCATCCCAGGGCCTGTTGCCCCGGTGATGGGCGCTATGGAAACAAGGGGGGGGGGGGAAGCGGGTAGGGCCCCGCAGCTCAGTTTCCGCCCTCGGGTACCGCTCCCTCACCCTCCAGATCCCGGCCAGGGTTCCCGAGGGAATGGCAGGTTTGGGGGAGGTGAGGGCGGGGAACCTCTGGGCTCCAGAGTGGGAAGAGGGAATGGCGGGAGAAGAGGCGGGGAAGGAATGATGCGGCTGTCCAAGGTGCTGAACCTGAAACCCAAGCTGCGTTGGGCGAGCCGGGAGTTCCTACCATCGCACAGACCGCTCCCCTCCTCCTGCCTCACCCACCTTAGACACTGACGCCCCACGATTTGGGGGCGCGCTACGTCAATCCAAACTAGGTCCTGCTGAAGTCTGATCTTTTCTCCTTTTTTTCTGGAGGTAGTGGGAACTGGAGTCCCCAGAATGCCCGGCCACTTTGTCCCACTTCTGTGTCTTGGATACCCCCATACACGCCCCCAGCACAGCTCTGCCCGAGAGTGGGCGGCTCCCAAGGCCCCTCCTCCGCTCTGCCGCACAAAGAGCCTCTTCTGCCTCTAGTCACACCCCCTAACCTTGGACCCCATCCTCTCGGCCCTTTCCCCTCCTCCCCTCGCAGGGCACTCCCCGCCCTGTTCCTGCACCGCGGCTTTGGGAGTTCCTAGACCCTTAACTCCATTCTTTCCCCTAGCCTCGGGTCTCACCACGTCCAGGAGACCCGAGACGGCCTCGAGGAGACTTGGCCCCCAGCTTGAACCCCAAGCCCCGACCTCCGTCCCACTCACGCGTTCCGTCAAAACGGGTGGCGATGGTGTCCAGGAAGGTGTTTTGCGGGGCCAGCAACCCCTTCATGACCGGCATGGCCCCGGGGCGTGGGTTCAAGGCGCGGCGCTGGGTAGCTTTCAGCGCGGCCGGGCCGGAGGGGGCGCGCTGCCGGAGGGGCCGGGGCGCCCCATGCGCCCGCCTGCCTCCTCCCCTCCCTCTTACTGCCGCTGCCGCTGTGGCCGCCTCTGCTCCGAACCCCGTAGCTCTCGGCTCCGCTCAGCGCCGCTTCGGTCCCCCCCCACCTCCCCACGGGCCAGGTTCTTCCCCTCGGGTTCGGCCCGCACCCGCCACGTGGCCCCACACGGGGAGGGGCCGCTAGCGACACCTGCACCCCTCTGGGCAGCCCTCCTCCCAGAGGGGAGCGGCCCACGCGTGTCTCTCGGGGAGAGAATTCGGGGCACGCCCACCGGGAGGGGAGGCCTGAAATGATGGGCGGGTCTTGCATAACAGACTCGCCCTCTTCCAGGGTGGCCACGCCCCCACACGTGGTTCCCTGGCTGCTCCCTGTGGCTCCACCTCGCGGGTTTTCCCGCGCGCCGTCCACGCTGGGCTGGTGTCTGGTTCACAGTGCCGCCTGCTGGAGTTGAGATATTTCGCAGCACCCCTAGGCCAGTAGCTCCAGTGTGAGATAGCAAGGGTTAAGAGGCTAGTTTGCTGGTAGAGAGTGGATGATGAGAAGGCTTGAAACCCCAACTCTAGAAAGCACCACCAACTCTTGCCTCCTTCCTCAGTTTTCCCAAGACACCCTGGCGAACTCTGCCTACTGAGCACACAGCATGGTGGAATGAAAAGAGCTTTGGAGTCCACCAGGTAGGGTCCCAGCTCTAGCCACTAATCGTTTGATAGCCTCTCCAAGCCCCACTTTCCTCATCTGTAAAATGGAGCTGATAATTCTTACCTGATGCAGTTACTGTGAGAATGTAATACCGTAATGCATGTCGTTGGCACAAAATAAGTGCCTTGGAGGGCAGTTGCCTCCCCGTTTTCCCTCTTCCTACTGTCTTAATCCTCCTCTCTGCTGCCCTTCAACTGGAAGAGAGGCTGGAGGCAAGTTTGGGAGAAACTACCTCTGAAAAAGATAGTTTTGAGGTGGGCAGAGTCGGTTTGCAAATCTCCAAGGGTGCACAGGTGAACTTTGATCTCTGATTTCTCCAGGATGGAACCGGCACAGCAGCAAGAGGGACCAAAGTGAGACTAGACACAGGACTTTCTCACTACCTATGCAGAAAATTGAGGCAGCTGAGTTCTGTGGCTGAGGCTGGCTGCTTCCCACGACAAAACAGCTGAAGCCAGTGAACGTGGGAACCCCAATGGGCAAGGAGGGCAGGCTAAATTCTCCCCACTCTCTGAGCTAGGTATTATCTGGGATGTTTGATTGCTAAGAAGGGCTGCGTTTTTCTGTGTTCTACTTTTGTTGTTGTTATTGTTGTTCTTGCTGTTTTTGAGATGGAGTCTTGCTCTGTCGCCCAAGCTGGAGTGCAGTGGCGTGATCTCAGCTCACTGTAACCTCTGCCTCCTGGGTTCAAGCAATTCTCCTGCTTCAGCCTCCCTAGTAGCTGGGATCACAGGCGTGCATTTCAATGCCCGGCTAATTTTTGTATTTTTAGTAGAGATGGGGTTTTGCCATGTTGGCCAGGCTGGTCTTGAACTCCTGACCTCAAGTGATCCGCCCGCCTCAGCCTCCCAAAGTGCTGGGATTACACGCATGAACCACCAAGCTCAGCCTGTGTCTCTACTTTTGGATGTTTTATTAGTTTCCTAGGAATGCCATAACAAAGTACCACAAAGTGGGTGGCTCAAACAACAGAAACCTATTGTCTCACAGTTCTGGATGCTAGAAGTCCAAGCAAGGTCAGGTGAAGGCAGCGTTGGTTCCTTCTGAAGGCTGTGAGGGAGAATCTGTTGCATGCCTCTCCCCTATCTTCTGGAGGAAGTGGGGGCGGGTGCTGGCAATCTTTGGTGTTTCTTGGCTTGTAGGAGTCAATCTCTACCTTCATGTTCACATAGGTTCTCCCTGTGTGCGTTTCTGTGTTCAAATTCCCTTTTTTATAGGGACGCCAGTCACAGTGGATTAGAGGTCCTACCCCACTCTAGTATGACCTCATCTTAGCTAATTGCATCTGGAAGGACCTTATTTCCAAATACAGTCACATTCTGAAGTGCCACGGGTAAGGACTTCAATATATGGATTTTGGAAACACCAGTAACAGGTGTCTTTGACTGGAGTTGCAGAAAAATCTTGTCCTGCTCCTGCTTAAGAATGTCCTATGCCTCTGTTACCTACAAGATAAAGTGCAAAGCCTGATGATTTGTGAGAACCTTTGGAGCTGGGCTGCACTGACTGTAACCGTGTCGCTTCCTGAGCCTCTCCACTCCCCACACCCTATACCCCATGATGCAACCATTCTGGATGACTCATTGTTGAAGTTCATATTCCCTGCCTTTTCAGCAGGATTGACTCCCACCCCTTCCTAGCTGGATTCTGCTCCTCTATGCAGCTTGCCTTCGTTTCCTTTCCTTTCCTTTCTGCTTTTCTTTTTCTTTTCTTTTTTGGAAAATGTCTCGTTCTGTCGCCCAGGCTGGAGCGCAGTGGCCCAATCATGGCTCAGACTCAAACTCCTGGGCTCAAGCGATTCTCTCGCCCACCATACCCCGCTAATTAAAAAAACTTTTTGGAGAGAAGTCTCACTCACTATGTTGCCTAGGCTCGTCTCGAACTCCTTGCTTCAAGCGATCCTCCTGCTTTGGCATCCCAAAATGCTGGTATTACAGGCGTGAGCGCTGCAACCGACCGGTTGCAACCTTTCTCGCTCTCCTTCCCCTTCCGCATCTCTGGGTGAAGTCCCCGCTACAGAATGCCTAGCAGAGCATCGTGGGAGTCCCGCATGCCCCGATCCAAGCATGCACCTGTGCAGTTATCTCTGTGCCCCAGGGCCTTGCACTGGGAGCTCCCCAACCAAGAGTGTTTTCGATTCAGCAACGCAAAAGCCAAGGCTGGTGCCTCAGAGCCGGGTTTCCAGGCCCTCCCGCCCTCCGCAAGATGCTCTGCCGCACCATAAGGGCAGGACGCGACCGCACAGGAACAGAGACCAGTCACACGAATGGAGACTCGTCTTTATTGCCGTTTTTCTGGGGGCTGACGCTGGGTGGGCAGAGGGCAGAGGCCTGGGCCAGGACAGGGCCCGAAGAAAGACTCAGATCCCGGACTGTCCCCCGGGCGCGACGGATGTGGCGGCCGCAGCGGGACAGTGGCGCCCGAGGCAGGGGCGAGGCGCTGGCTCTGCGCCTGCGCGGCGGCCCATGGTCAGGATGCCCGCGGCGTGGTTGCCGCTGGCCTGCAGGAGGCGCTGCAACCGACCCTGGAGGCCAGGGGGCCCGGATCGCCGCTTGCCCAGCGTGAGGATGCCGGCCGCGTGATTGCCCGCACCATGCAGCAGCTCGTAGAGGCGGCAGGAGCACGTCTTTTGACGACAGCAGTCGGGCAGGGGCTGTGCAGCCGCCCCGGGCGACAGCAGCGCGGGCGGCAGCAGCAGCAGCAGCAGCAGTAGCGTCACGGCGGCCCAGCAGACCTAGGGGAACGGAGACAGGGCGCTAGGGGTTTTCCCACGGCGCCCGCCACAAGCTCCCACGCCCAGGACCTACCCCGCTGGCTCCGCGCCCCCTCCGGGCCTGCACTTCTCTCTGGCTGTCACTTAGTTCTCCTAGATTTGCGCCCTTGCTGGTATCGGGCTACTTTACCTGCTCCTCCTTCAAGATCCAGCAGAGCATCTCCTCCAGGAGGCCTTTTGAGACCCCCTGGGCAGAGTGAATCCCCCTCTCCTCTGGAGACTTAGGCCACTGTGCCCCCACTAGGGCACTTACCACTCCACCTGAAAACAGGCGTGTCTGTCTGCAGAAGTTGTAAACTTGGGAAAAACCGGGCCCTACTGAGTGCCCGCCACCTCCTCTCCACAGCAGGGAAACACGTGGAAATCAGGAACTAGCAACACTCCAGAATGCTGTCTCATCTGCCTGCCCCCTTTCTGGAGTAACTGAACTCCATGACTTTGAACCAGTTTCCTGCCCTTTCAGAGGGCACAGCTCCCTTACCTGTAAACTGGGTATACTAGAAATAATTCCTACTCTGCAGGGCTGCTGGGAGGATGAAAAGAGCTGACAAAAAAAAAAAAAAAAAAAAAAAAGAGCAAACACAGCACCTGACACATAGTAAGAGCTCGCAAACACAGGCTCTTAGCAAAACAGCACCCAACCCAGTGTGAGCCAAGGCAGGTGCTCCTGCCTCAGAGCACACCCGGGAAAAGACCAAGAGTGGAGACACCTTCGGCCTTTCTTCCAGCCCTCTGAGCAAGCGCTAGTTTTGCTTCTCTGGAATGGTGAATCACCCCTCCGTCCCTGGGTCTTTACCTTTGTGGAAGGAAGGTTCATGGTATCTGGTGCTCAGGGTGGGGCAGCCGGGAAAGGAGATGTCTGCGGTGGTTCAAAAAGCCAGGAACCTTGAGGCTGTCGATTGTGACCCTCTCCCAGGGGTCTGGGGTTTATAGTGCTCTGAGGTGGCAGGGAATTGACAGGCACTTACGTCCACACCCGGGCCAGACAAAGGCAAGTCTAAGATTAGCCTCCTGCAGGGGGGCCGTCTCCAGGCTGGGCCCAAGGAATGGCCGCTGCTGCGTTCAGAGGCCAGGGTTGGATCACTGTGCCCCTAATCACCCCCTTGTCTGTCCGCCTGCTCCCTGGAGATGGGGCGGTCTCCGGGCACTAATGAGGCCACCTTGCACCCAGGCATCTGGGAGCACAAAAGAGGCGCTGGCCTGGGACAATATGGAGGGAGGCAGCTACTAATTAGGGGCAGGAGAGAGGCAGATGCGCAAGACCCCACATTCTGTGTGTAGGGGGTGGAGCAGCCAGCAGCAGTCCTCTCCCTCCCCTGCTTCTTGTCACTGCCCCTGGGGACTGTTAGGCTCCAGGACCTTCTTCCTTCATGGAAAGGTTCCTTAGCTGCCCCCCTCCCCCTAGCTTTCTTCTCCCCTTCTGCCCCTTCCACTAGCCTCTGATATGGAAAACCTTGAAAACCCAGCCTAGGCAGTAGGAGGTAAGAAGCTAAAACCAAGCCCAATTTCTCTTTCTTCTCTCTCTCTCTCTCTCTCTCTCTCTCTCTCTGTGTGTGTGTGTGTGTGTGTGTGTGTGTGTGTGTGTGTGTGTGACTAAATTTTGGTCTTGTCGCTCAGGCTGGAGTGCAGTGGTATGATCATCTTGGCTCACTGCAACCCCTGCCTTGGGTTCAAGTGATTCTCCTGCCTCAGCCTCCCGAATAGCTAGAATTACAGGTGCACACCACCACAACCAGCTAATTTTTGTATTTTTAATAGAGATAGGGTTTCACCATGTTGGCCAGGGTGGTCTCAAGTGATCCACCCACTTCAGTCTCCCAAAGTGTTGGGATTACAAGTGTGAGCCACCGCACCCATCCTCTTTTTTTTTTTTTTCCTTCCTTCCTTCCTTCCTTCCTTCCTTCCTTCCCTCTTGCATTTCTTTCTTTCTCTCTCTCACTCTCTCCCTCTTTCTTTCTTTCTTTTTTTTTTTTTGAGACAGAGTTTCGCTCTTGTTGCCCAGGTTGGAGTGCAATGGCGCAATCTCGACTCACTGCAACCTCCACCTCCAGGGTTCAAGTGATTCTCCTGCCTCAGCCTCCTGAGTAGCTAGGATTACAGGCATGCGCCACCATGCCCGGCTAATTTTGTATTTTTAGTAGAGATGGGGTTTCTTCATGTTGGTTGGGCTGGTCTTGAACTCCCGACCTCAGGTGATCCACCTGCCTCAGCCACCCAAAGTGCTGGGATTATAGGCATGAGCCACCACGCCTGGCCTTCTCTCTTTCTTTATTTTCTTTCTTGACAAAGTTTGACTCTGTTGCCCAGGCTGGAGTGCAGTGGGACAACCGTCACTCACTGCAGCACCGAATGCCAGGGCTCAAGCAGTGCTCTCACCACAGCTACACAAGCAGCTGGGACCACAAATGCGTGCCACCATCCCTGGCTAATATTTAAATTTGTTTGTAGAGACTGGGTCTCTCAGGCTGGTCTCAAATCCCTGGCTCAAGCCATCCTCCCGCTTTGGCCTCCCAAAGTGCTGGGATGACGGCTGTGAGCTACTCTGCCTGACCAAACTCGGTTTCTACCAGAAGCTGATGGAAACATTCTACCTCCCCAGCTTTCTCCCTGGCTCAGGCTACCTGGAGGGGAGGGATGTAGTCCCACTCTACAGTCACCATGGAGTGAGCCACCATGCAGTGAAGAACACATGTCATCTCCAGGTCTAAGCTTCGCTTATTCACAACTTTTTTTTTTTTTTTTCCAGAAACATGTGCACTTTATTGAATGCCATTGTAGAAAAGTGTGTGAGGATAAAGGACTGACACAGGACTCGGCTCTGGGGGCAGGACCAGGAATGGAAGGTAGAGCACGTGGGATACAGGTTATAGGCAGAGCTCCTGGCCTGAATGATGTCTCCCGATCTATTGATGGGCTTGGAAGATCAATACTGGGACGACAATGAGCAGAATGGTCATGAGGATGCCCAAAATCAGGGCCCAGATGTTCAGGCACTTGGCGGTGGAGGCATAGGCCTGGGCCCCAGTCAGGTCGCCAACCATCTTCCTGTCCCTAGACTTCACGGAGTAGGCGAACGCTATGAAGCCCAGGCAGCAGGGGTTCATGAAGAGGGTGTTGAACAGGGACCAGACGACATGGTCGGGCACGGAGGTCTCGCTGCGGATGTGGATCACGGTGGACGTCGGGGGAGCAAGGTTGTGGGGCGCCCCCAGCACAGCCACCTCGTGCTCTTCCTTGAGCATTTCATAGCTGGGGGGCTGGCCGCTGTTGACAGGAAAGAAGACGGTTTGGACCGTGTGGTTCATGGTGTCCTGCGAAGGCCAGCGGTGGTCGGGTTAGCGGGATCCTTTTTTTTTTTTTTTTTTTGAAGACAGAATTTCACTCTTGTTGCCCAAGTTAGTGTGCAAAGGCACATTGGCTCACTGCAACCTCCACCTCCTGGGTTCAAGCGATTCTCCTGCCTCAGCCTCCCAAGTAGCTGGGATTACAGTTTCACGTCACCATGTCCAGTTATTTTTTTGTATTTTTAGTAGAAACAGGGTTTCACCATGTTGGCCAGGCTGGTCTCGAACTGCTGACCTCAGGTGATCTGACTGCCTCGGCCTCCCAAAGTGCTGGGATTACAGGTGTGAGCCATGGTGCCTGGCCTACAACCTCTTTATTGAGCTCCTGCTGTGCACAGGACCTGGCCCAGTTTCCAAGGAGCTCATCATTTCAGGTGGGAGGCAGTTCAGGCATAATGATAGTTCGGTGAAGGAGAGGACTTCTGCCCACATGAGCAAAGTTGAGCCAGTCACTCTGCCTGGGGTGGGCCTGGTAGGGGGTCCTCAAAGGCCTTGCATGAAAGCTAGTTTACATCAGGGGCAGCGGGATGGAGGGCATTACATAGAAGGGACCACTTGAGCAAAATCCTGGAGTTGACAGTGCTTAACAACCCTTAGATGGGAGGTGAGGTGTGGTCCTTAGTCCAGGCCTTCTTTCCAGCAAGGGGAGAGAGGCAGCTGGACATGTAGGTGAGGGCCAAGGTCAAAGGGTCTAATAGGCCAAGCTGATTGGTCTGAATCCTGTGGGTGATGGGGGCTACCATGGGAGGATTTTTTTTTTTTTTTTTTTTTTTTCGAGATGGTCTCGCTGTGTTGCCCAGGCTAGTCTTGAACTCCTGAGCATGAGCCATCCTTCCACCTCAGCCTCTTGAGTAGCTGGGACTACAGGCCCATGCCACTGTGCCCAGCTTCATGGGAAGATTTTAATAGGATGGAGTGACAGGCTGAGGTGGGGGCCGGGTGGGTATGCAGCAAGGCCCTGGATGTAGGACATGGAATGGAGAAGTCATTCAAAGGCATCTGGAACTGGTGCTGCCTCTACTTAGGAGGAGCTGCAGGGTCTTGGGCTGCCCCTCCCACCAGCCTCCAAGATGGAAAACCTTAAAAACTCAGCCCGGGCAGTGGGAGGGAAGGAAGCCAAAACCTAGCCTAGTTTCTTTTTTTCTTTTATTTTAGCCTCTACAACCTTGTGGAGGCTGCGTTTCCTCATTGGTATGGAACAGTGAACCCAGATGGTCTCTGGGGTTGCTTCCTGGGACGATGCCTTATGATGTGAAAAATAGCTGTCCCTTCCCCACCGCAGAAGTGGTTTGTGGGTGCTGGCCTAGGATGTGCTAGGAGTCCCCAAAGGCTCCTGTGTGCACATGCAGCCTCGCCAGGCCCAGACCAGAATGTTGGGGGAAAGTCCTGGAGCTCAGTGAGGGAATGGCTGGGCCGGGGTCCACTCCCCAGTTTCCCCAAAGCAGACTCTGAGGCAAGAATCTGGGTGCAAGAGGTTTATTTGGGAGCCATCCCAGGAAGCCCAAGTGGGGAGTGGGGAAGAGAGGGAAGGGAGGAGCCCCTGCAGGAAGTACATGATTGAGTGGGTTACTGCTGTGGGCAACTGGGACGCCATCCTGCTGGGCATCCTCTGAGAGTTTATGTAGAATACACTTCAGAATTGTCCTGCTCAAGGACAGTGAAGCTGAGGTCCTGCTCCTTATTGACTCAGGGTTGCTCCTGGAGACATTAACCCCCTGACGCTTCCAGCTTGCCCAGTGCACTGACTGAGCACACAGCTGTGGCTGCCAGAGAACCCCCTTGGGCTGTGATACAGGAAACCATTGGTGTGCATGGTAACTCTCTAGCAGCGTCCTCCATGCCTGGACACAGGGACACGGGCAGGCACTGCTGGCGTCTACTAACCCCAGAGGCCCATACCTTAGAACTAGTCAGCTGGGCCAAGGCCTCCCTAAGGCCCAGCGGCTCTCATGGGCAAATGTCAGGTGACACAGAGTCAGAGTCCCCGGCCAAGGACTCCCCATCCAGAGAGGTCCAGAGGGAGGAGCAAGGTGGCCTCGGGGGGAAGCTGGGTGGTGGGGCAGGCCTTGACTCAGGACACCACCCTCTCCTGCAGGCACTGGGCCAGGTGCCTGTGCCGAAGGACCCGGGGCATCGCAGGTGGGAACGGGGAGGAGGGGCAGGCAGCGAGGGCTGCCCGGAGTGCTCGGAAGGCCCCTTGCCCCACCAGGTGGACTCTGGCAGGGCCCACGCTGCCCCAGAACCGCAGGGACTTGTAACGGGGAGAGGCTTCCTGAAGGCAGTGGTCCAGCTGGGAACAGAACAGCGTGAGTGAACTGGTGTGTGACCATGAGTGTGCACACGAGGCATGCGTGGCTGGGTCCAGGCTACATGTGTTTAGAAGTTTTGCGTGGACAGGTGTGTGTCTGTGGGACTCAGCGCTCCCCTCCCAGAGCCCCAGGGAGCTTCTCCTCTGCCGCCGCTCTCCTCCCCA